AATCCCAGCATGTGGGAGAATATGATGTCGTAAACTGGCATCTACCAACTAGCAGCTGTCGCCTATTATTCGCTGTGCAAGTTTACTAAACACTGAACTAAAATAATTCATCTGGCTTTGAGTTGGGTCATTCTTTAAATAAATTGACAGCTCAAGAATTGTAGTTATATACACAGTCACGTGCGATGCCACAATTGAAAATGAGTTCATCATAATAAAATAGACACAGGCTTCTGTAGCCGCTGATTATGCTGAGCATCTTCGGGGGAATATGATTCTGGGGCTGCCCTCACTGTCGAATTTATATTGGACTAGTATTTATTGCTATCCATCTCTTTTCTGGCTTGCCTGTGGACATCAGGATTAGGCATGGGCGGGAGATGTGGGATGGACCACGCGTTAAGAAACATAACCGTACGAGACATGCTCAATTTATTACCTTAGGATATAATGAGTTTTCTACTTATTTTATTTTTTTAACTTCGACCAAAGTAAAATTGATTACTCTAGTTAGTGGTTACTACAGTTGCTGCGATCCCTTGAAGGAGTCTCTACTAGCAAAGTCCTGACTTAAATTAAATGATGTACCGAATGTTGCAGGCATTTTCCCACAAGTGCATCTACCAATGTCTCTCACAACTCCGAGGATTTTTCTATGGTGAGTCCCCAGTTCTTGACCACCAAATCACATAATCTAAGTTTGATGTGAATGGAATCCTAATAATATGTTTCTTTCGTTGCAGGGGCCGACCAAACTCATTGACCTGAAGCGGGAACCACAATTACAAATGGAGATGACTTCCCCGGAGATGGCCACAACAAGTTGGCCATTCTTTATTTTCTTGGGAGGTTCAATGTTCTGTCTCCTGTCAAGCAGCATTTGCCACCTGTTTTCTTGCCACTCCCACCGCCTAAACCTCCACCTCCTGCAAATGGACTATGCTGGGATAACAGTGATGATAATTACCTCCTTTTTCCCCCCAATTTACTACGTCTTCCAGTGTTCTCCCCATTGGCAATTGGTTTATCTCATTGGAATCACAGTAATGGGCATCTGCACTATCATAACGCTGCTCACACCAGCATTTTCGACAGGAAAATATCGCGCTTTTCGAGCTATTCTCTTCATGTCCATGGGATTCTTTGGCCTCATCCCTGCAATCCATTCCGTGGTAGTTAATTGGAATGATCCTCATCGCAATGTGATACTTTGTTACGAGGCAGTCATGGCACTATCCTATATAACAGGGACGATGTTTTATATCAGCCGGATCCCGGAGAGATGGAAGCCTGGTTTCTTTGATCTAACAGGTCAGAGTCATCAACTATTCCATGTTTTTGTGGTCATGGGTGCATTGGCACATTATGGTGCTGCGAAAATCTTTCTTGAGTACCGCGGCAGAGTTGAGTGTGAGAAGTGATATACTGCCATCTCAGTCAGTACTTTGAGATTGTTTTACAGTTATGAGGGTTGATTTTCAGTTTCACCCGCCCTCGTGGATAGAGAAGAAACCATTCTTCATTGATTTTTTTAATTTTTACATGTCAGTCAACAGTCATAATTGTAATTGTGAGGATAATGTTACATCTGATATCAGTGTTCATGTATGTGATGTTACACCTATGTTTAAGACCACTACATCTGATGGCAACGAAAAACTCTACTAGTATTACATAGGATGGGATATATTACCACTCCTGCCCTGCGTCGTCATCTTTTATGTAATGGGCGCGATGCGGCCCATGCTCGTTTACATTAATCAATCGCAGTCTCAGACAGCAGGTCGGGACCACTGTGCAGATTAAATGTGATCCAACATGTGCACAAAAGCCCATTCAAGCTTCCCACTTTAAACCTAAACTGGCCCAGCTGATCAGATTCAAATCAGTGGGCACTCGTGGGCTGCTTGATTGCGCAACCGCAATGGCCTGCCAATGTAAATCTTTGGATTAATCTTTTTTTTCATACTGGCAGTATACACTGTCAACATTGAATGAATGATAACTATACAAAATTTGAATTTGAAATTTAACTTTTACACACATATCATGAATCAAACAATGATAGTACATACACTATCAACATATATATATATATACTTTTTTTTTGCAAGGTCTTCGCTTTGCAGTGTCCTTTCCAGATGATCATCATCCAAATTTTTATCGTTAAGACTTGAGACAAGACAAGAGCCACCAGGTAACCCTAGCTATTAGCATAAAAAATTTTTCATTACCAGCTTTAGATCATCTAGAGCGGTACGTAACTCGTACTTGCTGGGTGTTTCATCAACAATGAAGCATTGACAGCTGCAAGACGTTCTGATATTTTTTCCTAGATGTAGACACGTAATCCCATTTTTGTTACCCTGAACCAAAATATGTCGGTGCTCTCATGACCACATTAATTATATACTAGTATAATACTACGTTCTCCCCCCCCCCCCCCCGGGCCTCTATGGTTTAATCAAAAATCAACTAAGGGAGGCAAGATTTAGGATAATGGGGTGATGGGTTTTTAGTTACTTGGCGCTGTGACAACCTGAGAAATCATGGGTTTTCTTTTCTCTGGCCATGTGGTAATTAATGGTCTCATTAAATAAGTCCAGGGGACGAACTCGATGAACCTTGGATTCATAGTATGGTGGTAATTAACATAAGCAATAATCCCGTTTATTCCCAACCTAAAAGTCATCCTTCATCCTTTATATTATTATTATTCTTATTTTTATCACAGCCCAATCTTGTTAGGGCAGTAGTTTATTGAAGACCTTCCATTTATCAAAAAAAAATAAAAAAAGTGAAGCGTTTTAATGGGCAAAAAAATAAAAAAAAAAGTGAAGCATTTTAATGGATCAAGGTCAATTGCTAAAGAGAAAAAAATCCTCGTTGAATAATAATAATAAGTACTACTGATGCGTGGCTGGAGGGATTGTAATTATGAGACCCGAATTCAAAATCTTTCATTTAAAAAAAAAAGAAAGAAAGAAAGAGAACTGCTGATGGGCTGAATATCACTATGCAGGTTATATTTGTTTCATTACGTGGTTTTATTTTTTTCCCTTCTTTTTTTCTTTTGAGTCAAGTAACGACAAAAAGCATTTTGCTTTATGTAACCTAGAAGAAAGCTCAGAATTAATTACTAGTTGTTTAACAAGTCGATTGACTTAAAAAAAAAAAAAATGAATGTGAGCTCGAACTTTTGTGATCCTGATTCGCACTGAAACATGGGACAAGCGAAAGAATTTTGTGCCGGAAAACTCGATCGATAAAAAAACAAGTTTTCCGCGACAAATGTAGGCAGCATGTGAGAGGCGATGCTGACAGCAGATAATTCGACTGGTTTTATAATATGGTAATTATCAATAGATCCCGTGATCCTTCTCGTATATTATCTTGCTGTGTATTTTTGAGTTAAAACTTCATATATTTTGAGAAAATTCGCCTGATCGAAAGGCTGGAATACCCTAAGTGAAGGAAAAAAAAAATGAGGGGTGATGCTGATGGTTTCAAGTTTCAAACGACTAAGGCGCTGTTTAATCTTTGTTTGACGATATGACCCAATAGGAGCGCAAGTTTGTGTGATTTCTGTCTATTTTTCTTTAAGATATCATACCTACCTTACCTTATTAGTGGAATAACTATCTTTTCCCAAAAAAAGAAAATTGCCCCTGCTACTTTACGTTGCGTCATCAAAGTCTTTAAGCGCTTTTGTTAGATTGGATCCCCTCTGCCGTCGCATTGGCAGTGGCTTCGTGGCGAAACTCTATTCAACAACCAAAAGCTTGGGGGCGGGGGGGGGGGGGGGGGGCGGGGGGAAGTGCCTGTAGACTGGGGATGAAAAGTCAATACTGATTAATTTTCTAGGACGATCTTTGTCGACTTTCAAGAATGGTCTTAACATGCATGGTTTTTATTGCATGGATACGCCTCCAATTTCTCCTGCTTCTGCGCATGGATAGAAATGAAAAGCACGCAACCCACATGCTGCATATTTCCGCAACTGTGAAAATCATAGCTAAGCTAGGACTTGCACCATTTGACCAATCACATGTCATGCTATAGTTTTGATGTTTATGGTTCTGCTTTTGGCCACAACGTCCTCACCATATCTACTTGAAAAAGAAGAAGAGAATTGGGATTTTTTTTTTAAAAAAAAAAAAGGAAAAGAAAGAGGAATGAATTCACTGCAAGATTCAAAACAAGAAGTACAAACAGTTCTAAATTAATTAACTCAACTAGTGACATCCTTCATTCATTCAGCAGTTCTAAATTTTACCGGAGCGAAAACTTAATTACTGCATCAAAACGAATAAAAAAGGTGACAAGAATCAATAATATATTTCTTGAGGCACTAGAGTTGCATGAGGATTAAGCTCACTAGTTCTGCCTTCTTTTCTTGGTCTATGCAAACTCTATGTCTGTCATTTTCAGGTTATTAGCACACTGCTTGCGGTTTCATCCATCTCTCCGTATATCCAGCCTCTCGAAGAAATTGAAATTCCCTCGAGGGAAAGAAAAATGCCAGTTTATTGCTGCTCTACATTCTTGCTGTTTTCGACTCTTCTTATTCTTCTGATCATCCTTCTCTTCTCTCCCTGGAACCATAATCATAACATAAATTTCTTGGCTTCCTCTTATACAATCAGCCCTGCAAGTTTTGGCCACAAAACACGACAAGGGTCTTTCTGGAGCTCTGTGTTCGACGCCAATTCTGAAGACCATGTTGCAGCCAAAGTCAAAGTGCGAATAGTTAGTGCTCCTTTCATACTATCGATATAAAAACATAGTTAATATCGCATGACCTCTACCATCTGATTGTCAATGTACTAAGCAGTTGTCGTTGTTAATCATTTTTCTTAGTGATTTTCTGTCCTCCTGCTAATTACAGAAAAAGAGTTTGGCAAATATCGAAGGAGAATTAGCCAGGTCACGGGCGACCATCCACCAAGCAATTCGTGGGAGAAATTACTCGTCCTACAGGAGTGAGAACTTCCTTCCAAGAGGATCCGTTTACCGAAGTCCATACGCTTTCCACCAGTTAAGTTTCGGCATACTCTTGCCAGTTATTCAAATGGCATCAATTCATGCTGGTCCATGCTGATAAGCATACCTGTACTTAATTAATGGATCATACATTTTCTCACGTAAAATGTAAAAAAAAAAAAAAAAAATGGCCTTTTAACCTGCAGGAGCCACATAGAAATGCTCAAGAGATTTAAGGTGTGGACTTACAGAGAAGGAGAGCATCCCTTGGTACACAAGGGGCCCCTGAAAGATATTTATGCAATAGAAGGTCAATTCATAGCGGAAATGGAGATTGGAATGAACCCTTTGACGGCTCCCCATCCTGATGAAGCGCATGCATTCTTTATCCCCATTAGCGTAGCTAACATTGTTAATTATGTTTACATGCCCGTCACTAACTATTCTCGGGAACAGCTGCAAAGGTTGGTTGAAGACTATATAGGTGTCATAGCAAACAAGTATCCATATTGGAATAGAAGCAATGGAGCTGATCATTTCATGGTTTCATGTCATGACTGGGTATAAATCTTTATCCTCCTTTCTTTGGTTTCTTTTTCTTATCTTGACCAAAAATTAACTATGAGGATTTCTGCTTCATAAAGATGTTAATCATGTAGCTATCCGTGGTCTCTCCTCTTTAAAGTTTAATTTGGGATTCGCTTACGGTTTCTTTTTTTTGGGGGGTCGAAATAGCGAGCAGCTTAATCTGGATATTCCTTTAAAGCCATCTCAAAAACCATCCAACTGAACCTAGTAATCACTTATTTTGTCATTGTGGTGAACGCCACAACTCACAAGTCATAACTGAAAAGTTGCACACATTCTCCTATGTACTCTATAGACTATGTACGGACAAGTAAATTGCAAGGATCTGCTTCACTAATTAAGCTCATCTTATGCTCACACCCTTTGACAGAGTAACAATCTTGAAATCCAAAAGGCTAATACGGTAGCATGGTATTTTCGACTATATTTCAAAAATACTCTTCTTGAAATTTTGACTTCTTGTATTGTGTGTTTTTTTTCAATGCTCTAAAAACTAAAACTGTTACTCAATCAGGCACCAGATATTTCAGATGCCAACCCTCGACTCTTCAAGAACTTCATCAGAGTTCTTTGCAATGCCAATACCTCCGAAGGGTTCCATCCTGGGAGAGATGTATCACTGCCAGAGGTATATGGACCAGCTGAAACTCTAGCCATCCCAGACAAAGGCCTAGTCCCAAAAATGCGCCCCATCCTTGCCTTCTTTGCTGGAGGAGTCCATGGCTACATAAGGGAGATGTTGTTTGAGCACTGGAAAGACAAGGATAACGACATAAGAGTCCATCAATACCTCCCAGAGGGTCAAAATTACACTCAGCTAATGGCTCAAAGCAAGTTTTGCCTGTGCCCAAGTGGATATGAAGTGGCCAGTGCTAGGGTGGTTGAAGCCATATACGCAGGATGTGTTCCAGTTATAATTTCTGACCATTATTTTTTACCATTCAGTGATGTTCTAAACTGGAATGAGTTTTCTGTCAGCATTCCAGTTGATAAGATCCCAGATATGAAGGAAATTTTGCTAGGAATTTCCGAGACTAGGTATGTAAGAATGCAAAAAAGAGTGAGGAGGCTGCAAAGGCACTTTAGGCTGAATAGGCCGGCTCGGCCCTTTGATGTAATTCATATGGTGCTGCACTCCGTGTGGTTAAGAAGACTGAATCTGAGGCTGCCTACTTGATCACTGTCTTGGTTATTCTTTTTGAAAACTTTTTCTAGGTTTCTCTTTGGTATTTTTTTGAAGGCAAACTACAATTATTGCTTCAATTGCCAATTTTTGACAACATAGAATGGTAACTTTTGAAAGTAATGGAAATCTGTCTGAACTCCAACCTCGCAGAAGAAGTAAATTTTATGTCCAAAATGTTTCTGAGTTGCAATTAGTGCTCCTCAAAATGAGGCATTAAATTTTATCTAAACTTTGATTTAAGGGGGTTCAAATGTGATTTTAATCTTGGTTTTCTATAAGTTTCGGTCGAATAGAAAAACTTCTAGCAGGCTGATCAAACAAATTAGTTATAAGTACCCTATAATTATAATTATTTTATTTTTCTACTATGTCACACTACATATATAAGTAATGCTAAATACTGAGCACTGAGCAACGAGCATGAAAACAAGAAACAAATCAATACTCTTTTTTTTCATGCATTGACATTACGTGTTTCATTTTAAATTTAGGAAATATTCAAATCTTATGATTACCTATAATTTGATGCATGTAACTGCACTTGTAGAAGTGTTTCTCTACGTGCTGACAAACTCCTAGTATCAACTAAATTAATTTTGGTTTAATGTACAGGTGTCAACTTGTACTTTCCTAACTTACACATACATACCTACATACATATATATATATCATATGTGTTTGTGTACACATGCTTAGGGTGATGGAGAGTTAAGCGGCTCACAAGTAGCTCGCGAGTAATTTGATCAAAAGGTTGGTTTGAACTCGATTTGACTGAATTCAAGCTCGAGCTTGAACTGCTCAATTAAGCTGGTGAGTCGAATTTGAGCATTAAATATATTATGCAAGTGTTCAATGAGAGTAGCATGCATATATAACAAGTTATATTTTTATCAATTATAAAATTACTAATTTGGGTTTATATTTTATCAAATTTACGTAAAACTTAGTTTACTTAATAGATTTGTGATGACAAAAAGGTAAGTTCATAAATTCAAGATCTTTAAAATAATGAAAATTTAAAATATGAAATTCAAGTTTGAGAGTTCGAGCTTTCGAGGTCGAGCTCAACACCCATTACTCTAACTCTTTTAGGCTTGGATGGGATTTCGAGTTAAACTCGAGTTGAGCCACTACTTTGTTGAGTTGAGATTCGTTTCGAATACTCGTTTGTACTTGAGTTTGATTTCAAGTTCAAGTTCAAGTATCTTTGGAAAATTATTTGAGATAATTTTGTGAAAAAATATTGTAGTATTTTTTTGATGTGATGTATGTGAGATAAAAAAATAATTAAAAAATATATTGATGATGCAAGCAAGTTAGTGTACGTAAATAAGATGGAAATAATGTGTAATCCAAACATACTATTGAGTTCAATGCTATACTTAATGTGACTTGAATACACCCCTACATACACCCCCGCACCCACCAAACTACTAAAATATCTTAATTTCTCCTTTTAATATATGCTGACAACTATTACCGCTATATTCATGAAAAATGTGTAAAAGTTATATTTTAAGTTCAAATTTTTCATAATTGTCATTTATTCAAAATTGACGGGGTAGGAAAAATTAATCATTTTATTTTTTATTTTTGGTTGTAGAGTCCTGCAAGAAAAAGAAGGAAAAGGATCACATTTTAGATTCGACCCGCTCCCTTTCTGAACCCAAGCGGCAACCGCCCACACCCAAAACCCATATACCTCCGCCTGTTTGCGACGGTTTCGTCGTGGCAGTGGTCGTCTGCTTATTGCAGTCTTCTTCCCACGCAGCGTGAATGGTACGATCATACAGCAGAATCTAATCACTTGTATTGGAATCGGAATCAGCTGCCCACCCCAAAATACGCATTGGCGTGTGAGGAGTAGAAACGGGAAAGTTCAAGAAAGAACACTTCGGAACTGAAAGAAATGGCGGCAGAGATGACTGACGGAATCGAGAAATTTGCTGATAATATTGACGCCCAAGTACCGTCAAACCCTTCGATTCCGTCTGGTGATCAGACTGTTTGGGCTGACGTTTCTCCTCTTCTCCAACTCGCCTCCCAAGGTCCTACTCCCCCCACACCCTGAATAGATGACTAATTTAGCTTTCTTTTAATTTTTTTCCACTTTTTAAAAATGTCTGTGAAGCATTATTGACGCCGGAAAGTTAACAATTTTACAAGTTTCAATAGGTTAATTGTAGTGTATTTTTCTTTATAATTTCGCTGTTCTGGTTTTTCTTGTGAATTAAAGCTAAGAGTTTATAAAATGAGTGAAAAACACTGACTTGAGAAGCTTTGCTTGATGGATAAACTTGTTTGTTCTTTTGCAATAGCTAACCCTTTCCTTGTCTGATTTTTGCTTTATACTTGCTGCCTCTTTCTTGAATGTATGATGAGATAGGACTGACAATATTTTACAATAAAGATGAAATTTTTATGCATTGTAATGTACTGCTGTCTGGAAAGTTACAGGCTTTATGGCGTTTCTTCCCTCTTTTGCTGGAACAAGTTTCAGGGGTTGTTTACTCGATTAGCATGGTGGTAATTGTTTGTTAGTCTTTCATTTCTACTAGAATATTATACTGCTATTATCGACTTAGTTGAGGGAAGAGCAGGGTAGATTTGATTACATATTTTACATTTAACTGCGTGGTTCTCATTTTGTTTGTTTATCATGCTACATTTTGTACTTCACAACCTCACTCTGACCTTGTCTCTAGGCTGTATTACACATTTGAAAATGACAGAAAAGAATAGATTGCTAGGCTGACGGTAGGCAATCATTCTTACTTGGTCATAATGTTGTCATGCTTCTCAGATCTTCATGATGGGGAGCTAATACATGGAGAAAATTTTAATCTTTTTGCAGCCATGTCAGCCTTGGAGGTAATGCTCCACTGTCTTTGTCACAAAGCTTCATTTTCAATTTATGGTTTCATATCAGCAAACTTTATGCTGTTTTATCTTGATATGCAAAAGGGTGCGAGGGTAATTTGTGTTGATGGGTCATGTTTTCCAGAAAATATACGGTGCATATGCTTAAGTAGAGCGTGCCTATCATTCTTTGAGTCAATATGCATTTAGTGTTGGTTCAATTCACGGTTGCGTTACCCATGGGGACTATTTTTACTTCCTTTTGGCATCAGAAGAGCTTTATTAGCTAGGTAGACGTATTTTACATTTCAATAATCTTGTTAAGACAATTTTAATATTCTGTTTTGTATAAGCTTGATAAAAAATTTACGTGGATGTCCTTTAGGGGCTGTGCTGAACTGCTTAAGTGTGATTGCAGGGCACTGACTATCTGCATTGTGCTTATGTTCAATTGATGCAAGCTAGAAGTTTTCCTCTAGTTGCTTTTAGTTTACCTTATCTTTTTTGGCATGGATATAAGCACGGTGAATGAGTTTTATGGTTTCTCTTACTAATGTGGAAGTTTTACTGATTTACTGAATTTATGTGAAGTTTTACTAATATATTGAATCTATATTTATCAGATTATGGACCCAAAGATGGATTCAGGCATCGTTTCTACTTATTGTTCTGTCGATGAAGCCATTGAGAAAGGTGCTGCTCCTGTTCCTTTGAGTTTTAACAGCACAATTGATATTCAATGTACTATTGACATCATGGATCATCTTCTTGCCTGTGAGGTTAGTATGTATTTTTTTTCCCATTGTTCACTTAGGGAGAAATTATGTCTTTTCTGATAAATCTATCATCTTCCAATGCAGGCGACATGGCATAAGGGTCATTCACTTGCACAAACTGTTTTCTCTTGTATCTACCTTTTGAGACCTGATAGAATATCTTCGCATGCTTTACTACATTCTTATTGCATGGTCGTACGAGTGACTTGCAATGCTGTTGTTTCAGCAGTTTCAGATGCTCGGACAAATGAAGTAAAGTACTCCAACAACTCTTTCACTCCTTCGTGCAAATTAAGAAATTGATATAAAAATTTCCATTTTATCACGTTCACCCTATCTGTTTCTATTTAATCTTGCAGAAACTAGAATCACTCGTACTAATCTTTCTAAGTGTGTTTTTATCCTTTCGTCTGCATAGATTTTTTACATTGACTGTTTACTTTCATATGCTGACAAGTGCCTCATTCGCAATATGCTTGGGTGTCTGGAAAAGACTGATGACTCAAGGGTATATTTCAGAAAATAAAATTCTTGATTTCATTTTACTAAGATGGATTCTTAGCCTCAACCTTATCATTTTTTATTTCATTTTCTAAGAATAATAAGCAGCTAACCTAGCAGATTGTACTTTTGTAAATTATGGCTTTCTTCTTCTACCTTGCTTTGCATATTTCTCAAAAACATTGCAAGTGTTGATTTTAGTGGGGAATTCATCCTTCCAAATTTCTGTTTCCTATCAAACCAGGGCAAAGACAAAATATCATATTGAAAAAACATGCGAGAGTAGAATTATTTGTGAAGGATTACCTTTCAGAAATTTGAAACTAAAAAATATCCCTGATGTGATAAAAAGGAGGAAAGACTTGGTCTGCTTCCTGGAAATGAACTTTCAAATATATACTTTTGCTCTGGTGTCCTTTCTGTTTCTCATATGCCGTATGTCTTTTGATTAGGAATCCAACTTTAAGTGAGATGCTTTAGACATTTCCCAACTTGATTGATGTTCTTAGATAAGAAATTTCCTAAACCTATTCCTTTTCTAATTGAAATCTTCAGAGTGGTGTCTTGAGGGTGCAAGCTGATATACAATTTGAGTCACCTATCTATATAGAGTTACAACTGCTTTTCAAATCCACTAGAGTACTGAATTGATGTCTCTGTAACTATTAAATACCTCAAAACTACTGTTTGAGGCATCAGATGTGTATGACTCAAAATTTCTTATAGATTTGCATTATTGTTTGACCTTGGAGAGAGTAATTTCTTGGTGAAATTGCATCTTAGGTGGAGAGTAAGCATACTCAGCAGTTCTTATAATTGGTGCATTTTGTACTTTAAAACGTTTTAGAGCCTGCA